TTAGTTTTCATATTGTTTACTCTTATACGTGTACTAAGAATAGGTACTGTTTCCTTGAAAATTCATTGTTTTTTATGTAATGTTACTTGCCTTGTAGACAATGTTTTGTCTGGTGACCATTAGTTAATTTTTGAAGCTGGAAGTTTAATCAATGCTATTGGTTGTTCTTTGTTGGCCCAAATGCACGTTTCGTTCCCTAAATGCCTTTATTTATATACTGTTTATTATTTTTTTTATCATAAACGGTTTACTTTTAATCCAATTTAATAATAAAACATTAATACTAATTAGCCGGCAGGAGTTGAACAATTATTACAAATAAATAAATAAAAACTCCCAAATGGAATGGGAGAGTGAATACTGAAGATCTTTGTTGACATACAATCTTTGTAGCAGAGAAGAGAAGAGAGGAATCTATGTCTACCATATGTTTGTAAAATTGGTCCACACAACACAATACAACCTAACATAAACAGAACAGAACTCCAACAAAAGAAAAGACTTGACCTCACCACCTTTTCTCCACATAATACAACGCCAAGCAAGTCTAAACACCAGAGTAAATATAGTGAACAAAAAACTTAGGAAAAGAATCAGTTGAAGAATGAAATATTTCAAAATGGAATAAAAAAGATAAAACACCTGCAATTAAGAAGCAAGAAGATTGGTTACTGTTAAAAAAATATAAACACCTTAAACCAAATAATATAAAGATAAATCTTCAATAATCCGGGCAAAACTAACATTTGCTAAATTACTATTAATGAGTACTCAATACATAGTAATAATTCCCTGGAGATTTAAAGTGAAATAAGAAAAATAAAACATTTGCAAGTAAGAAACAAAAAGACAAAGACATCAAAATATATAAAAGGAATGGTTCATGTATTCATCTTTTTTTGCTACCAATGTGTATCAAAAGTAACTGAAATATGATTTAACATTGTAATTGGCTGCCAGCTGAATGATTGAAAAACGAAATAATAAAAAACAATGGACAGAAGGAAAAAAATAGAAAATAAGAAACTTTCAAAGTTAAAGCATAGTTAAATGATTATAACTTCCTACCAAATAATAAACACCAAAGTAAATATAGTAAACAAAAACCTTAAGAAAAAATTTGGTTAAAGGATGAAATGGTTCAAAGCAGAGTTAAGAAAATAAGGGGTTATTCTTTTAGAGTGTAGCTTGAGTGTAGTTTTTGAGTTGAATTTGAGTTATAACTTGAGTTGAAGTTGTAACTTGAATAAAGTTGAGTAAAGTTGAATAAAGTTAAAACTTAAAAGAACATGAACTTGAATAAAGTTGTAACTCGAGTTGTCTTTTTTTGAGTTTTTTAGACAAAAGAACATGCCCTAAAACACCTGCAACTAAGAAGTCAAAAGATTGATTATTGTTAAAAAAACATAAACGCCTTAAACGAATAATATAAGGACAAATCTTCAATAATCCGGGCAACAACAATAATTAGTAAATCACTATTAACAATTACTCAATACATGGCAACAATTCTTGGGGTTTTTTTTTTTCCTTTTTTTTTTTTACTACCAACATGTATCAAAAGTAACTGAATTATGATTCAACATTATCATTGGCTAACAGCTGAATTATTGAAAGACTTGCACTAAATAACAGAGGAACAAATTTTAATAGCTGTAATAGTAAAAAAAAAACCTTACAAAAAAATCAGTTAAAGAATGAAATGGTTTAGAGTGGAATAAGGAAAATAAAATATTTGCAAGTAAGAAGTAAAAAGGTTTGTTATTTTTCAAAAAAACATAAACACCCTAAACGAAATAATATAAGGATAAATCTTCAATAATCCGGGTAACATCAATACTTGCTAAATCACTTTTAACAATTACTCAATATATGACAACAATAAAGAGGAAAAACATCCAACAGATTTTTAATAGAGAATTAGAAATGAAGTAGAAGAAGTAAGGAATAAGTACCTTAGAATAATAACAAAAGTAGATATTGATGCAGAAGCAGGAAAAACACCTGAAAACAGAGATAACAAAAGGAACTCAGTAATGGAAATTGAAGAAAAGGAAGAAGACAGAAAAGATAAACGATATGTATATGGAAATGAGGTGAAAAAGGTAAGAAATAAATACCTTAGAGGAATAAGGAAAGTGGATATAGTTGATGCAGAATAACTAAAAACATTTCAAAACAGAGATAATAGAACGGGGGAAAAAACCTCTCTAATGAAAATTGAAGAAAAGGAAGAAAACAAAGAAGATAGACGATAAATATATGACAACGAAAGCAGAAGCAAAGTAAATGACTATAAACATGAAAGAGAGAACAATATATTTATACGAAGAAAATAAACGTTTGAGTATATGGCAGTAGTAAATACTGCAAACAAAACTTAACACTACCCCTATTACGCTGCAAACAAAAGGTAATAATTTGCTAAAAACAGGTGTTACGCTGCATGATAAGTACCGTGGAACAGAGCGAATAACCTGCAGATAGTCAAAACAAAGTATCTCATTAGAAATAATTACCTTGCACTAAAAACAAATGTCTAAATATTCCCGACTAATATAACCTGCGGAAAAAAGGGTTAATAATTAGTAAAAATAAAAACTTAATTAAAAAAAGAAGAAAACAATTAAGAGATAACAATAACAAATAATACATCTGGAAATAAAAATACTAATAAATCTGGAAATTAAAAAAAATAAAAATTATAATAAAAAACGACACTAAATGTATAAAAACACTAACAGATATGGAAAACAATAACATTAAAAAATTTCAGAAACTAACAGATCTGGAAAAATGGAAAACACGAAAAAAACTAAGGTAAATCTAAGGAAATTAAAATGGAAAACAAAACTACAAAACAAAACAAACATAAAAAAAGAATCCCAAAAATCTTACAAAAAGGGAAAAAAAAGTGAAACAAACTTCACAAAAATAACCAAATGCGGTAACATCCCAAAAAGGTCACTAACATATATAGAAAAACTTAAGGAAAAACCCGAATACAAAATAGAAACAAAAACTAAGTCAAATCTATAAAAACACTACCAGATCTAGAAAAACGAAAAAAAAAATGAAAAAATGGGAAAAATGAAAAAAAAAAACACCAAGAGATCTGGAAAAACGAAAAACAGAAAAAAAAGAACAAAATCAAATCTAAGAAAATATAAACGAAAAACAAAACTACAAAACCAAATGCAGATATCTGATCACATAAACCTCAATAACAGATCTGGGAAAAAAAACGTTAACATATCTAAAAAAAAGGGAAATAAAAAACTAAGGGAAAAAACGAAACCAAATCTACAAAAATACTAACAGATCTAGAAAAACAGGAAAAAAATAATTAAAAAACATAGAACAAAACGAAGCAAAAAGACGTACAGAACTGAGAAAATGAAAAAGAAAAACCGAATAAAAAAAGGGAAAAAAACAAAGCGAAATCTACAAAAACACTTACAGATATGGAAAAATAAACGGGAAAAAAACGAATCAAAAAATTAAAAAAAAAAACAACGAAGCCAGATCTAAAAAAAGAAAAACGGAAAACAAAACTACAAAACAAAACCAACATAAAAAATGATTCCCAGAAACCTTACGAAAAGAAAGAAGGGGAGAAGGGGGAAAAATGCACCGAACATGCAACAAAAAGCAAAATGAACCCTACGAAAACCTTAACTCATTTACGGGAAAAAAAATTGAAATTAACCCCACGAAAAGCGCAAGGAAACCCAGGAACATAAAAAAAGTGAATCAAAAAAAAAAAAAAACGAAGCCAAATCTAGAACAAAAATGAAAAACAAAACTACAAAACAAAACCAACATAAAAAATGATTCCCATAAACCTTAAGAAAAGAAAAAAAGGAAGAAGGGGAAAAAATGCACAGAACATGCAAAAAAAAAAAAAAAAAAAACAAAATGAACCCCACCAAAAACTTAACCCATTTACGAAAGGAAAAAAAACTGAAATTAAGCCTACAAAAAACGCAACAAAACCCAGAAACATAAAATGGGGAAAAAACTTAGAACAAAAACACAATAAAGCAGAGAAAACCATAAAGAAAACGAAGAGGATCTGTGAAGAGGAAACAAAGAATAAAAGCCTCGATGAAAGAGAGATGCAGGCGTAAAAGTAAAAATGAAAGAAGCAAGAAGCTTCTTGAGAATACTAAACAAAGACCACTGAAGAAAATGACAAAATGGGCAGCAGAAAAACACATAAAAGGAAAAAATTGAGGACAAAATAATAAAAACAAATTCTAGAAGACAGAAACAACATTTTTCAGTAAACACCAAGAGAGAGAAAAAGGCCATAAAGAAAACGAAGAGGATATGTGAAGAGGAAATAAAGAATAAGAGCCTCGGTGAAAGAGAGATGCAAGCGTAAAAGCAAAAATGGAAGAAGCAAAAATGAAAGAAGCAAGAAGCTTATCGAGAATACTAAACAAAGACCACCGAAGAAAATGACAAAAATGGGCAGTAGAAAAACATAGAAAATGACAAAAATGGGCAGCAGAAAAACATAGAAAAGGAAAAAAATTGAGGACAAAATAATAAAAACAAATTCTAGAAGACAGAAAGACATTTTTGAGTAAACACCAAGAGAGAGAAAAATGGCAAACCGAAGGATAAGACAAAAAACCCAAACAAAAACAAAGAAAAAAAAAACCAAACGAATGATAAAACGATAAAAATGACTGAAAAGACAAAAAAGGTATAAAAAAGGCCTCAACAGAAAAGAGTGGTTCCGACCTCCTTTAGTAATAGGTATAATGTTATATAGGAGACAAGAGATACTCAAGTCTGCAGTTTTTTTAATTATACAGTTTTATTATGCAAAACCGTTTAAGTTCAAACTTCAAATCACTAACAATATCATTAGTAGTAGTTTTTAATGTGCCACGGGCAAGGCAACGTTCATTATCAGCTTATTTCCCCCATTAAGGAAATATGTTCATTAGTAAGGGGGAAAAAGTGCTCCTAAAATCCGGGAAACAAAGAACTAAAATGATCAAAATTTGCTTCCAATAAATATTACACAAGGTAGCAAACTGCAATTCTGCATCTTTCTGAATTTCATGATGGTTTTCAATTTAACCATCGGTTTCCACTAGGACAAAACATACTTCCTTTTCGTCAAAACGAACACCCTACAAAGAAAGAAAATGAGCAAAAATACTGGAGATAAAAACATATTTTCCCTTCAAGAGGGAAATATTTTTCTTCAAATACTCCCCCATTTTGGCAATCTGGAACACATCGACCGGTAGTTTATCAAACGAGTTCTACACCACAACTTGTCCGCCAAGAAATGATTTATGAATATGATTATGTTTCTTGATTGATGGTTCCAGTCCTGAAAAGCAATTGAAGAGCAAATAATGAGCAATACGACTTGTGAAAACTGCTTTCAAGAAGAATATCTAATGCTGGACTTAGGCTAAAGCAAAGATCAGAAAAGGCTTACGACTTGTGAAAACTGCTTTCAAGAAGAATATCTAATGCTGGACTTAGGCTAAAGCAAAGATCAGAAAAGGCTTACCTTTAGCATTCATATATAATCTCCTCTTGCATACAGAACTTCATGTAAGGGAAGCAATGACGTCAAGATTATCCTTCATGAACCATGCATGAGGATAGAAGTCGTTAGCCGATTCAAGATGAAGATGCCAAACCATAATTCTCGAGCAATCTTCTAGTAATCCTTCCATTTGGCTTTCATCTTCCACAATTTGTTCAATAAATGTGCTCACCTAGAAGAGCACATCAAATGAGTTAGTAACTAGACCAGGATGTCAAATCTTGGTACTTATGGCTTCTCATATTCTAGTCTTTTATGCGTAGAAGGTTGGAGAATTATATGGCAGACATAAAGAATATACCCTATTGCAGAACACAGTTCTAAATCGTTAGATTTTCATAAAGTTGTCATACTTTTCCTAATCTAATATGATCTAGAAGATTAAAATTGTGTCCTACGAAGGGTATTTTGCATTCCCTATCATAGAATTCTCCTGTTTCCAGAAAATGGACAAATTAACAGGTATTTTGTTTGGTTCTTCACTTCTTCTTGAACTACAACCAACATTTCTAAAAACCAATTTGTCCTCACTTATCCTCAAAAACATAATTACTTGATTAACGGTGGCAATGAGGCTTCTATATTATATATCGCAAATTCAAACAAAAGAGATGACAAGAGATGAGAATCAAAGGAAGACAGGAATTACTAACTTGGAGAGCCTCCTTTATGGTGTCACGCTGCCTAATAGGTTCAAGCATAGGTCTGTGCCACCTCTTCGGATCCCAGAGTATTGTACTATTAAAGGCAAACCCAGATATTTCAGCATGGAATCTCCGAAATCTCCATCTCAGTCCATTTATGTGCCATCCAAGCACTTTGGTTCCATTACAAACAGGACCCTCCAATACAGCAATGTTTTTATTTTCCACTTTGGCCACAGTCCATACCCCAAATCGCCTAAACTCAAACAAAGCACAAAAATATCACTACAAAAAGCCAAGCGAAAAGAAACAGCAGAAATAAACCTACTCATTACAAGAAAAGAAAAAAAATATTCATGTAGTCAAACTGATTGTAATTTGTTACCTAATCTGTCTCATTTGCTCAAAAAGATCAGCTGTGTAGATATTATCATCATCTGCAAAGTAGACTATACCATCAAGATGATGAGTTTCGATATGTGATAGCGCAACATTTCTTTGATGCACTCTTCTGTCTCTTACATCAGTAAGATTTACGTTGCAAACAAGGTGCCTGTACATAACCCCAGTTCTCCTCAACAAGTCAGCCGTTTCTGCAGATTGGGAGGTCATTTCCACAACTATCCACAACAAAGGAGGTGAGATTGATTTCAATGTGTGTGCCAACCGGCTCAGGTAATAGGCCTGGAAGGGACTGACAAATGTCGGGGTCACAACTATTAAAAGCTTTCTGGACTCTAACTCCGATTCTTGGAGAAACGATTGGTCGTAACCAATAGTATCCTCAGAAATACCATCAACCGGTTTTGACTCCTTTGGTTGTGATTCCATCGTAGAATTTTCCTTCATAGCCACATTTTTTTTTGTGCTCAAATCCTTCATAGCCACATTGTCCAACTCTAATGGCATATCAGTCCTAGATACACTATCAAACGGCTGAAAGTTTCCAACTGCGGACATCATATCGAAGGAGAAGGCTTGATGCTTTGACATGATATTTGTGGATAAATTCATCGACGAAAATGGAGTAAACCCGATAAACACTCCAACCACAAAACATATGAAGAATTGGAAAAGTGCCCTCCTCCACACTTGTCCCTTAAGTTTTGACTTCTCGAGCGGCCTTGAAGTCCTCGGCGAGAATACACTGAAAACATAAGCTTGTGATTCCAATGTGTTGGCCAGAGCGGATAACAATCCACCAGATGGTGGATGGCTCTGAGCACACGACGACGACCTGGAAAGCGGGGAAGCAACCGAGCACACTTCCCCATTCATTGCAGTTCCAGGCCGAGGTACTGGTGACAAGGTTCTTCTAATGGATGCCATACATTACAAAGCAAATGAAATCGAATTCTTCCCAACTCACTAGCTATGACAAGGTCTATTATTTGACACATCAAAATCTTGATTTCAAAGAATTTCTATGTGAAACATGATTGAATCTTGCTAAAATCCCTCAACTATTATCCTGAATTCAACCGTGTTGTAAATTGTCCCCAAAGTAAAACTCCAAATACTATGTTTACGCATGCATAACTAAACCAGAAATCCGTAATAACCATTATATTCACCAAGTGAATCTGATCTCGAAATCACAAAATCTCCCTCCAATTTACTCATTCCAAAAATAAACTCCAAAAAAAAAAATGAAACTTTTCTCCTCGACCTCAACAAAATCTCCCGATAAACTTTTGGATCCACACGAACGAGCAAAGTTGCAACAAATCAGAGTACTAAAACAAAAACACCCACCAACCGAAAAACATCACCTTTTGGTCATCCAATCCAAACGACGAGATTTTCGATCGAAACACGGATAAAGTTAGCTCAAACGAAATGGGTCGTTAGTTACATTACCGGTCAATGAGCAAGCTCCAGTGCCGCTTTTTTAGGCACAAACTAGCAAAATGTGGAGCTTCGCAGCAGAAAAGAGGATCTTCCAAGGTTCTGGGTCAAACAGAGTAAAGCTCTGGTGTGGTGTTTTTGGATCTTAAGAGTTTAGTGAAGACTCAACTGGTAATAAAAGCTAGAGAGAGAGAGAGAGAGAGATGGGAGTGATTTGAGTATGAGTTTCAGATGATTCTCTCTCTCGTCTCGCGTGTGTGTTACAGTGATTCGGATAAAAGAAAAGAAAATTGTTTGTTTTTTTTTTCTTTTTCCCGTGACCGACGCTTTGGGTTTGATGATGTACGGGATTATGGTCAATCCAGGTCATACATGACCCCACTACACCACCCGTTCGTTTAGTATAAAAAAAGTTCCCAAATATAACTGCCTTTATGAATTTGTGTGCGTTTAGTTCAAGGATTCGAGTCATAGTTTAAATTATAATTTGTAATTTATTATAATATTTTTTAATAAAAAATACACATAAATTAAGAATAGTTTTGAATTATGATTTTGAAATCATCAATCAAACGTCAATATATGTAGATGGCAAATCTAATATTTTGGTATCATTCATTTCACTGATTCAAATTTAAAATTCGAGTTTTATTACAGTAAAAAACTCTAAAAAAATAGTCACATCTAACTTTTTGATACAGTAAAAAGCTCTTATATAAAATCATATATCAATTCAAATTAAAAATTCATATTAACGAACTAAACACGCGCTTTGTAACTAGTATGTTATAATTTAAAATATCTATTGTTTTCTTAATTGAAAAGCAAAAGCAAAAATCTTTATATGATATAAAATCTAATGGGCACTTTCTTAAACTCAAGTCTCATAACATTCTATTTTTATCTTACACAGTTCAATCTAGTCATTTTTAAAATAAAATCTTTACATACAAAGATTTAGAGTTAAATTTAGATTATAGTGTAAGCATAATTTAGGGCAACCCAACCTAGCTTTTATAAATAAAACAATAAATAAAAATAAAATAAGAGGGTCGGCTCCGACTCAATTAGGACTTTAAGCTTAAACCTTCATCGCAGCCTACCCCTAACCAAACTAAATATTTAAAAGAAAAATGAGACAAAACTCCTTAAAGTGCATGAGTCTAGATTTTTATCTTTTATTATTAATTAATATCTTAAAAATTCAAATAACTAATATTAATCAAATAGTTATTAAGCAAGAGTAAGAAGTAAAAATTCAGACCTATACACTTTAAGAATAAGTTCATCAATTTTCTCATATATATACATATATATATAAATCAAACATGTTTGATCTAGCTCAATTTTGACAACTCTAAATTGCAATTAAGCGAGTCTTTTTAAAATAATAATAATAATAATAATAATATTATTATTATTATTATTAAATAATGTGAGTTTCTTAGGATCAGAAAAATAAAATTATTAGTAGTTTTATTTTTTAACTATAAATTTGTATTAAAAATTATATATTGTGCATACTTTTTCAATTTGATTTGATTTTGACTAAATTTAACAGTCAAAAAATTGATTCCACCAGTAAAACAGCTTATCATAGACACTCCCAAATAAAAAAACTATGGGCTTGTTCTTTTGGAGTTTAACTTGAGTATAATTTTTGAGTTGAATTTGAGTTATAACTTGAGTTGAACTTATAACTTGAGTTTGTGTTTGGTTGTGTACATTTGAGTTATGGTTTGAGATAAGAATCTTTTTGAGTTTGTGTTTGAGTGAGTCAAAACTTGAATTTGTATTTAGATAGTATTTTAATAAAAACTCAATGCTGATAAAAAATTTTAATAGGGCATATGGGTCGGATTTTATTCGTCTTTTCGTTGTCAACGCATAGAAAAAAAATCATCTCAATCAGAATTAAAACGAAAAAGTTATAGCATTTTTAAGAATAGAAAAAATACTGTTCATTAATTTGAGTTCGAGTTTCTGAATTCGAGTTGAAGGGAAAACTTGAACTCGAGTTTTAGTCCTAAACTCGAGTTTGAACTCGAGTTTAAACTCAAATTTAAACTTAAAATAACATAAACTTAAATAAAATTATAACTCAAATTGTCTTTTTTTAAATGTTTTACTCAAAAGAACAAGCCAAATATAACTAATTTAAGTCGAATATGGAAATCATGTTAACGAAAAACGAGCAATTTTGAGAAATTAGTGTGCTAGAAGGGCATGGGGAGGCAACTCAAACTGTGCAAAACTGGGCTGGGCTTGGGCAAAACACGTGTGTGGATCAACATACTGGGCTTGGGCTGAGCTTCACTTATGTTACATTTTTTTTTTTGTCTCTAAAATAAAAACGAAGCCGGCTTTTCTTTCGAGTTTGGAGCACACTCCGTCGCACTTTCCTTCAGTTCTCACGGACTCTTTCGTCCTCTTCTCAGATCTGTCACTGCCTGAGAGAGAAAGAAGAGACACACAGAGTCGCCATGGCAATGGCGTCTAGGGTTTTTCTTCTTCTTTTTATTATGTTTTCATTTTATACGGAGCTTAGTTTTTCGCTCTACGAAGATCAAGTTGGTCTTATGGACTGGTAAGCTCCAATCTTCCCTAATTTCCTTTACCATAAATTCCGAGGAGAATTTAATAGAATTATCGATCGCTTCTCTCAAAATTGACTTCAATCGTTTGACCATATATGAGATTGAATCCGATTGTTTTTCAAGCTTCCTTGTGATTCTTTATCGATTGCTTATCTCAAAATTGACTTCAATCGTTTGACCATATATGAGATTGAATCCGATTGTTTTTCAAGCTTCCTTGTGATTCTTTGTTTTCCCTGAATGGGCTGATTGATAACGTCTGAAGTTCGAATTCAGTCTGATTTTATAGGACCGATTATGTGGCTCGATTTTTTTTTTTTCATTTTCGTTTTCCTGCAATTTCTCGGAAAGCAAACAGATTCTTATGTTGATTTCCTGATTATTCTTTGAAATCAAATTGAAATTCTCGCTTCCGGTTAATAATTGTTAAAGATTCCAAGTTCTCGTACGTTTATGTGTTTGTGTGATTTGTACGAATTTAGATATTTTGTTCGCCTCCAAGCAAGCTTAACTGAGCCTTAGTTTGTTGATTTTCTGCAAATTCATCATAATTTATGTTTCAGCGATCACATTTCAGTTACTTGGTGTTCAAAATTCTAGTTTGTTCTCTCCAAGACCTGCTTTTTTTTTTTAATTTATTTGTATCATTATTTTTGTTTCTAAATAAAAAATAAAATATCTCAGGCACCAACAATACATAGGGAAAGTGAAACAAGCTGTGTTCCACACTCAAAAGGCTGGGAGAAAGCGTGTGGTGGTATCCACCGAAGAGAACGTCGTTGCTTCTCTTGATCTCCGACGTGGAGAGATTTGTAAGTTCAATTTTCGGGTGGCATTGGAACTGAATGTACTTCCTTAACTTTTATCAAACTCATCAAATTAGCCGGCATTATTTTGTCTCTATCTAACCGTGTTAAACGCTTATTTTGGGTTAAAGAAGATTTCTCTTTTATTTTTAATGCTAACAATGGAACGTTTATGTTACTTTGTGCTGTGCAGTTTGGAGACATGTTCTTGGCAGCAATGATGCGGTAGATGGAATAGATATTGCTCTGGGAAAATGTAACGATGCTCACGTTCACTTGTTTCTGCAGTTTATTGAGATATATTTGTAAATTGCTTGTTTACATTGTTTTCTCTGCTATCAGGATTAGATATTTTGAACACCACCCAAATACTGTTTTTCAGTTCTTGATTAATTTCAGATCTATATTTTGAACACCACCCAAATACTGTTTTTCAGTTCTTGATTAATTTCAGATCTAGTAGTTCTGCAAGTATATATTTCAGATAGCTATTCCCCTTTGTAAGCTTGAGGACCTACTTCTTGAATTTTTTGCTAATGAAAAGGAAAGAAAAGCAGTTGGTTTTTGGCAGAGTTCATTAAAAATTAAAAGTACATGTTCTTTCTTTGAACTGTTAATGCTTGGGCAATCAGGTTTAATGTTGGTAAAAGGGTTGAAGGTTTCATTTCACGTTTTCAGATGCCATAACCCTTTCATCTGAGGGAAGTATTATAAGAGCATGGAACCTTCCTGATGGCCAGATGGTTTGGGAGTCTTTTCTACAGGGCTCAAATCCCTCCAAGTCATTATTATCCGTGCCGGTTAGTTAATAACATCCTGTGTTTAACAAAATCTTTTTCTGTCATATTTATTCTATTTTTACTTGTAATGTTTCTGTTGTGCAGACAAATGTGAAAGTTGACAGGGATAATTTGATACTCGTTTTCAGTAGGGGGTCTCTTCATGCTATTTCTGGTGTAGACGGTGAGGTTGTTTGGAAGAAGGATTTTGCTGCTGAAAGGTATAACAGATTTGGAGTTGAAACTGTTTGTTTTCTGCACGTTCGTTCTATCCTAACATCGTATGCCATATTGTCATTGATGTTTATGTGATTTACCTGTTCGCAGTATTGAGGTTCAGTAGATAATTCAGCCTTCTGGTAGTGATGTAATATATGCAATTGGCTCTGTTGGTTCTTCCCAGTTCGATGCATATGAATTAAATGCGAGGAATGGAGAGTTGCTGAAGAAGCACGGTGCAGTCTTTCCTGGTGGCTTTTCTGGGGAAATGTTGCTGGTCTCAGGTGACTTGGTGGTGGCATTGGATGCCAATAAGTCAAGTTTAGTAACAATAAACTTTCAGGATGGTATTAAGTTTCAGCAAACAGATTTATCTAATATTGTTGGAGATTCTTCTGGGACTGCAAAATTATTACCATTAAAGCTTCAAGAAATATTTGCTGTAGAAATCAATGAATTTGTTGTACTCATAAGAGTGACTGGTGAAGGGAAGCTGGAGTTGGTGGATAAACTTAATAATGCAGCAGTTATTAGTGATCCTCTCTTACTTTCGGAGGGTCAACATGCCGTTGCACTAGTTCATCATGGGGATGGCAAAATTCATCTCACTGTGAAACTTGTCAATGACTGGAGTAATGATTTGCTTAAGGAGAGTATAGTGTTGGACCATCAAAGGGGGTTTGTCCATAGGATTTTCATGAACAATTATATTCGGACAGATAGGTCTCATGGATTTAGGGCCTTGGTTGTCTTGGAAGATCATTCGCTGTTGCTGTTTCAACAAGGGGCGATTGTTTGGAGTAGGGAGGACAGCCTTGCCTCAATTATAAATGTAGCAACGTCAGAACTACCTGTGGAAAAGGAAGGTGTATCAGTAGCAAAAGTGGAAGAGAACCTCTTTGAATGGCTTAAGGTATGATGTTAGTCGTTCACATTCATAATAAGAAGTTAAGACAGTACATAAAGAGTTTGAAGCCTTTATTTCTACTCTCATTTTTCTGACGGATAAATCATCCTGTAGCATTCTTTAAAATGCAATATCTTTTATTTTCCAACTCAGCCAAAAATAAAAAAGAAAATGTTTTCTTCTCTCTCTCTCTCTGTCTCTCTGTCTCTGTCTCTGTCTCTGTCTCTGTCTCTCTCTGTCTCTCTGTCTCTCTGTCTCTCTCTTTCACACACACACACACACACTCTTTTCTCTCTCTCTCTCTCTCTTTCCTTTTCCTATGCACCACTTTGGTGTTTAAATGTCAAAATTCCGTTCAACTTGCCTGAATGCATCTGATCGACTGGTTCACCTCTCATGGTGTATAGTAATACACACACACTCTCTCTCTCTCTCTCTCTCTCTCTCTTTCCTTTTCCTATGCACCACTTTGGTGTTTAAATGTCAAAATTCCGTTCAACTTGCCTGAATGCATCTGATCAACTGGTTCACCTCTCACGGTGTATAGTAATACAGTATTTTGATATTGTTAGGGACACCTGTTGAAGCTAAAGGGAACTTTAATGCTTGCAAGCCCTGATGATGTTGCAGCAATTCAAGGAATGAGATTAAAGAGTTCTGAGAAGAGCAAAATGACAAGGGATCACAATGGTTTTAGGAAGTTGCTCATCGTGCTTACTCGAGCAGGAAAGCTTTTTGCCTTGCACACTGGAGATGGACGAGTTGTTTGGTCTCTCTTACTGCCTTCACTGCGTAATTCAGCATGTGCACATCCAACTGGGCTTAGTATTTACCAGTGGCAGGTTCCCCACCATCATGCCTTGGATGAAAATCCATCTGTTCTTATAGTAGGCCGGTGTGGACAAAGTTCTGATGCACCAGGAGTTCTTTCTTTCGTTGATACATACACCGGGAAGGAAATTGATTCATTGAGTCTTGCACATTCTGTTTTGCAAGTTATTCCACTGCCATTTACAGATTCAACAGAACAGCGGCTTCATCTACTGATAGATGCAGACCAGCATGCATATTTATACCCAAGAACTCCTGAGGCTATTGGTATTTTTCAACGTGAGTTTTCAAACATATACTGGTATTCAGTTGATGCTGATAGTGGCACCATTAAGGGGCATGCTTTGAAGAGAAACTGTGCCCAGGAAATTCTTGATGAGTACTGCTTTGACTCGAGAGACGTATGGTCAATTGTGTTCCCATCTCGCACAGAAAAGATAATTGCAGCTGTGACGAGAAAATCAAATGAGGTATTTTTTTTCCTTGGTAGATTCTTTTCCTTAAACAATTATTGATGTCAGTATGCTTTTTTTGTGCTGGTAAAGTAATTCTGATAAATGGGTGCCACTAGAAAAGAAGAAAAAAGAAAAAGGAAAAGAAAAGATTAGCTAATCAAACAGTGCATGCTGCAAGGCAGCATGCTACAAGGCAGCTGTAGCCTCTGAATTTTGAACTGGGTCTTTTGTGTTTGTTGTTTAGTTTCTGGTTTCTTGACATGATTTCTATTGCACTTTACATGAATTTGTTACAATGTTGTTGAGTTATTGCATTCTCTAGGTGGTCCATACTCAGGCAAAGGTTATAGCAGACCAAGATGTTATGTACAAGTATATATCAAAAAATCTACTGTTTGTTGCAACTATTGCACCAAAAGCTAGTGGTGAAATTGGATCAGCCACCCCAGAAGAATCATGGTTGGTTGTATATCTCATTGATACTATAACTGGTCGCATATTGTATCGAATGACTCATCATGGTTCACAGGGTCCTGTCCATGCTGTAAGCTTTCAATCTGCTGTCACTTTTGCTTAAACTTATTATGGTCTTCTAACCAATAAGATGTTAACTTATGTTTTAATCCATTTGTAGGTTTTTAGTGAAAACTGGGTTGTCTACCACTACTTTAATCTAAGAGCGCACAGATTTGAGATGTCTGTCATTGAGATCTACGACCAGTCCCGAGCAGCAGTATGCTAACAAACTGGAACTTTTTTTTTAATCTAATATTCTTTGTTTTGCACAAACTAAATTAGGTTCTTTATCAAATAAATTTGACAGGCCAATAAGGATTTGTGGAAGCTGATTCTTGGAAAGCATAATCTTACCTCTCCTATTTCTTCATACTCCCGAACAGAGGTTGTCATCAAATCACAATCTTACCTTTTCACCCATTCCGTGAAGGCGATATCAGTGACATCAACTGCCAAAGGAATAACTTCAAAGCAGCTTCTTATTGGCACTATTGGTGATCAAGTTAGTTGTTCCTTGTGCATCCCTTTTCCTTTGCTATTTATTTCTTCAAAACTATAACATATATTGATCCTTAATTGAGGGCAACCCTTTGCAGGTTTTGGCACTTGATAAGCGATTTTTAGATCCCCGGCGAACAGTCAACCCCACACAAGCTGAGCGAGAAGAGGGCATTATTCCTCTAACAGATGCATTACCCATCGTTCCTCAGGTGCTTTGCCAATTTATCATATCTGCTATAAGATTATCCACAAAAGTTCAGTTACTCAACAAACCACTGAATGTATTTTGAAACCATCTTCAAGTGGGCGTGGTGAATGAGTTTTTTCATTGTTTAGCTCAAAATGAAAATTAAAAAGAAAAAACAAAAAGTAGCGTTATGGAAGTAGATGGGCTGCTGGTTTCTCGTCTTGCAGGGCCTTCATGTCTTATTGGTTCTCATCTTGGACCTTGATATTAGGGTTTTTTTTTTTTTTTTTCCCTAGTAGGAAGACCAAGAAACTATGGTCATATATAATTATATTGCTCATTGCAAATGTGGGGGGTAAGTCCGCCAAGTCTATATTTGCTGGATACGTTGTTTTGGGCCTTTTGGCCTTTTCATTATATGAGCTGCAAGTAGTCACAAGCATTTCAAACAGATACAGCTAGCTGGATTATGGCATCTCAAGAATTTAGCTATTATTTGTGACTCACATGTGTCTCTTTATCAAAATTTCTTGCCTTGAACTTCCGTTCAAACTAATTTATTTTTCCATTTGCAGTCGTATGTGACACATTCCCAGAGAGTGGAAGGACTCCGGGGCATAGTAACTGTGCCTGCCAAGTTGGAGTCAACAGCACTCGTCTTCGCTTATGGGGTTGATCTCTTTTACACTCGAATTGCACCGTCAAGGACCTATGACTCACTCACTGAAGATTTCAGTTATGCTTTGCTCCTCATCACCATTGTTGTACTAGTAGCAGCAATCTTCGCAACATGGATTTTGTCCGAGAAGAAAGACCTGCGAGATAAGTGGCGGTGATCTCTCCTTTGTCTCATCATAACAATAATGTTCCTTTTTTGGGGTTTCCCTGGATTTAGGCTGCATTTGATTTAAGTTAAATTAGAAGATGACATCTTAACCTTTGTTATCTTTAGTGTGCCTTTTTTAACGGCAATTTTTGTTGTAGCATTCCAAAATTCATGAGGATTAGATTTGTTGACCAGGTTGTATATGTTGAAGTGCAAGCGGAATATTTGAATTACGCATAAGGCCTACTGTGTTACGTTCGAAAAATATGGCGTTATTTACCGGAAGATCGTGCAAATCTTTCGTTTTTAACAATATTACTCGTATCCTTAAGCAAAGGCACCATCAGAATTTTGTTTTTATTCTCGAAGAAGGTAAATTACTGTTACGTTTAAGAACTTAGGCAGCTACTTGTTGATAGATTTTCTTTACTGTCCGAATCCTCAACGATTGCATTTGCACTAAATTGATCTATATATATATCATGGGTTTGCCCGACAAGGTAAATCAAGTTTGATTGATTATGATATGAGATTTCTGTGATAAGAACTAAGAAAAAAGCATCAGTTGTAGCATTTTAAGCGGCAGAAAAAACGAGAAAATTGATTTCTGTCGAGGAATGTGCTCCCCTTAAATTCTTAACTCATCTCTCTCCTCTCTCTCTCTTTTAATACAATACAGAGTTTGACCTAAAACCGTCCACACCCTCCTGTACCACTAGACCAAGCGATCTTAGACAACTCATCTCTTTAGTTTTTGGCTTTTGTCTTAGAATTATATCATTCTTAATTAATATATAAAAAATGAAATAAGAACAATTTAATCATAATGCTTTTAAAAATAGCATAAATATAAGATAATTATGTAATAATTTCAAAGTATAATATGAAGGGAAGGCTGGCTATTGACTCGAGCAGTTCTAGACTGCTGGCGCTGAACCGTGTCAGTCCTTGCCGCTGTGTATGGGCATTATGCAGAATCTCATCGAGAAATTAATAAAGGCCACTACATTAAAGAGGGCAAAAGGGAAACAAACGTGCCATTATACAACACAGACAACACTTTTGCCGTCAATATACATATGCAAGTGTAAATTAAGCTCTCGATACTATTTACGAAATTATTATTTAACTGCATTATTTTTATGTGTAAATTAAATTTACAGCTTCTTACAAAAATGTACATTCAAATATTAACGTTCTCAAAGAATATTTCTCTCATTCATCCTCATCAAGTCCTCAAAGGGTCCAAAGTTAAAAATGCTATTTGCCGTATTCACTCACAAGAAGACGGTGAATGAAACTTAAGGAGATGTTTAGTTGTAAGATTCAAATCATAATTTGAATCATAATTCATAATTTGTTACAGTATTTTCTCTCACAAAAAATATACGTAAATTAAAAATAGCTCTAATTACATTATTCTAATCTATAAACTAAACGTATTCTAAGTCTTGTTCATTTTACCAATTCAAATTTAAATTTTAAGTTTTATTATAATAAAAAAATCTTAAAAATAATCACGTTTAAATTTTTTATTATAATAAAAAACTCTCAAATAAAATCATATTTTAACTTTTAATTTAAATTAACAGACGAAACCGACCTTTATTCATGAGATTCACCTAATTACTCGTTGACTCATGGGGTGGTCGTTATAATTAGAGACGACGCACAAGAACGAGAAGACGCCACCCCATGTTTGTCGTCTCAAAAGTGAAAATACAAAACTGACACACACAAACATTTCCCACTGCATGTACCGTAAATATGTAAATTGTAATCTACTAATGTAACTAGTACTAGTTCTACTCCTACACCACCCCACCCATCCACCACTCCCTCAACACTCAACAGCCCTCTTCTCCCTCTTTCACAAACCAAAAAAGAAGACACACAACAACAAACCCCTAGCTCTCTCTCTCTCTCTCTCTCTCTAACCATGAAACCCCACCAACCAAAGCTCAAAACCCAACTCTTCTCCTGCGGCTTCTTCCGCCATTGCACCCAGACTGTCCTCAGCCCCACCACCCCCCATCAGCCTCCTCTCCCCCTCTCCTCTCACCCAAAAGCACCACCACAATCACCACCACCTCCTCCGCCTCCTCCTCCATACGACGCGTCGTTTCACCAACCCCAACAACCCGAATCCTCTTCCTCCTCCTCCTCGTCCTCCGCCTCTCAAAGCTTCACTCAGTGGCGTTTTCCTCTCCCAAACTCCCTCATCCACCTCACCACCCCAATCTCCCAATCCGAACCCGTCTTCCAACCCGACCCGCTTCCACCCACAAACAACGTGGGCGCCAACCTCCAAGAGCTCTTCCATGCTGCGGAGCTCCAGCTCAGCTCCGGCTCCGATTCGGATCGGGTGACCGCGCTCCAATTATTAGAGCGGTCCTTGGTGCCCGACCCGCCTGTAGAACCGGAATGCCCGCCCGGGCTGATGCGTGGGGTGGTGGATAATTTGAGGAGCAAGCCGGGGGCAAAACCGGCATCAAAGATTTTGCTGGCGCTGTGCCTGGCGGAGGGCAACCGGCGCGTGGCGGTGGAGGCGGGGGCGGTGGCGGCGGTGGTGGAGGTCATGGGCCGGGCCTCCGCGAGGGAGAAGGAGTACGCTATAAGCGTGCTGGCGGTGATCTACGGCGGCGCGTCGGCGACGGAGGCGGATGGAGGGGAAGAGGTAGTGACAGCGCCGCCGGAGGAGGTGGCGCGTGCAGTAGCATTAGCTCTGCAGGGCGAGTGTAGTGCTAGGGGGAGGAGGAAGGGGGTTCAGCTCCTTAAGACGCTCCAGGATAGTGGCCAGAGCCAGACGACTGTCGTTTGAACTTTTTTTTTCTTTTCTTTTTTTAAATAATAGTAATATTTCTGTTTTATTTTTATTTTATTAATTCGGGAAGGGGACAAAGAAAAGAAAAAGAGTTAATTAGGTGCATAAATTGTAGTGTGTAGAGATGTGTAGTTAGAGGCGACTATTTGGAAAATGTTTTTATCTCATTCTCACTTATGGGGCTGTGATGACCATCATCATATGTATACTACGTTGCGTTAATAAATAGCGTTATATTAGAAACAAATTATATGACACTACACAAAGGATAAGGATTGAGATTATGATATAAATTTTTTTTTTTTTTTTGCTAAGAGAGATTATGATACTATTTGTTTATTATTGTTGAATATAAAGTTCGTTCATTTCACCTATTCAAATTTAAAATTTGAGTTTTGTTACAGTAAAAAGTTCTCAGAAACAGTCGCATTTAACTTTTTTGATACAATAAAAAGTTCTTAATAAAGTCACATATCAACTCGAATGAGTGAACTAAACGTACTTTAAGTTTGTTTATTTTGGGGAATCAGTGTAATACACTTAGGTTATGGTTTGTAATCTACATACATTTCTAGTGCTATTAAGGTTTACAATTCTAATCCTTCATAAGGTATAGGCCATTTATTTAATAGGTTTGAATAAAAAATTTGAAAAACATTTTTATAAAAAAAAAAATCTTATAATAAAAAGGTTTAAACTGTAGTTTTTATATACGTTGAGCATACAATTACTTAAATTGCTAAAAAATAAAAAAAAAACATTAATAACCCAAGCTCATTGAACACTAACAAATAATTAGTTCTCATCTATTATCATTTTTAGAGAGTTTCTTTAGTAGTACTGAAAAAATAAATTATCCGTAGTTTTTTTATTTTTTAATCGTCAAATTTGTATTAAAAATTATATATTATGCATATTTTGTTTTGTAATTTATTATAATTTTGACTAGATCCAACAATCAAAATCTGACCTTATTAATAGGCTTGCCTATTAGAGAAAGTTTTTATTTTTTAAACATAATAGAATTAGAGTTTGATGATTTAAAATTGAATATATTATCATTTCCAAAAAAAAAAAAAAAACAATCGAATACATTATCCAACTTAACTATTTGACATAGTGGTTAAAACTAGTTATGATATCTGTCCCCAAAATTCATCCTTATTAAATGTGGGATTTCACACTAATTGAGTAACATAACACTGTTTTTCAAAAGAGATGGGATATTTTCTTTTTGGTATGCATCTGAAGAATTCTCCTGTTTATTTTTTATTAAGCTACAAAGGAGTTGAAGGATCTTGTTTCTTTTCTTTGCGTTTGGTTCATGAATTAAAACTATGTGATTAGAATTATTTTTAATTTACGTGTATTTTTTATAAGAAAAAATACTGTAACGAATCACGAACATAATTCGAATAAAAAAACGAATCTATCTACCAAACAACACTGGTTAATGAATTAATGTGTGGACCAAAGTAAAGTTGAACAACATTTCGCAGATTTTGAAAATGGACATGGTAGTCAGACATCACGTGCGATGGGGTTAAGATTGAGCAGTGTTTCCTCTCTTTTTTTGGCTTTTGTCGAAGACTTGGTCAGTCTCTCATTGAGCGGAAAATAAGCTGGGCACACTGTCTGTAGATTATTATGAATATGGCTCCGCGCGTTTCTGGACTATTGTTTTGTGTCAGATGAATCCCTTGTTGTTGTGGATGATTCCAACCCAAGCTGTTCCTCCGTCCTAGCACCTCTACCCCATCCACATGTTTTTTTTTTTTTTTTTTTTTTTTTTTTTTTTTTTGAAAAAAAAAAAACTTCAGGAAAAATGAGATCATTATTGTCCTTACATTTTCGTCTAGCGTATAATGATCAAGGATCTAAATCCATTTTTCACTCATTCATATAATTCAGATTTTATCAGTCCATCACTGGCTTTTTGTATTTATTTATAGATGAGAATTGCCACTTTTACACTGGAACTCTTCTCTGGTTGGTACCTATGATATGATATGAACTTGACAATCATACATTATTGGATCCTAGTGTGCCATTGACAAAGGCAATATAATTTTTTTTTTTAAGGGAAAAAGTAAAAAGAATTTTTGCACACCATAGAATCTAATGAAAATTGTCATAGTTTAGACAGAAGGCAAAAAAATACTGCAGAATTTATGAGGTATTGGAATATTTTTTAGGTGTACAAGATTTTGGGAGATTTTCTGTAAATATCAGAAACTATCACTAAAAATATTGATTTTGATGGGTTGCAATGTTATTATAGATGCTCTGGCATATAAAATAAGCAGGCGAAAACAAAAATAAACCAAGTCAGTTTTGCTTGTGCTTATTACCTAGTCACATTAGACTTACTTCGAAGACGTCTTAAGGTCGAGTCCTATGAAAAATGTTTGGGACTACTTTCACGCTATCTCTCCTGATTTGCCCTTTTTCTTAAGCTCACAAAAAGCTACGGGTGGTCGCTACTCTACAAATTTATTTTATTTTAATTTATGTATTTATTTATTTTTGGAACAATCCCCTCTACAATTTTTCATTTCCAAAATCAAAATGTATAAAATTTTGCACACTGCACATCCATAAGAGCAGAGTAATGACTGCTCTACAATGCACGTGATCTCGTGGTGCTAACGTCACGTGACTATAAAATTGCCTATCACTTTGCATGCAGAATTGCCGATTGTTTCGGCCTCGTTCACTTCGTAGATTCGAGTTTTCAATTCGAGTTGAGATGTGATATTTTTTGAGAGCTTTTCATTATAGCAGAAAAAGTTAGATGTGATATTTTCTGAGTATTTTTTACTGTAAAAACTTAAAACTGAAAACTCAAATCGGTGAAATGAACGAGCCATTCATCTCTTGGTACACGATGGACCATTGAACCTGACTCCAATCATCTCCCACATCCCATACTTCCAAAACAATATGGGCCTAATATATATCACGGGCTCTTAAGCAGTGAACTTACCCATGAACCTTAATGGGCCTGATATGCGGTGCAAAAATTGTTTAGATTGACCTTAATATCCTTTTTAACTAATTAATATAATTATTTAACTAAAAAAATATTAATTAAGAATAAGGAATAAAAATTCAGATTCTTATACTCTAAAGGGTATTTATCTCTTCTCTTCTCAAGTAAAGTACATGTTTTATCACGATTTTGTGCATGCCTATTATTTATGTCACTCTAAATAATTAGATGTCATCTTGTATTTTGTTTTTTCTTTATTAATGAAGTGACAATTATTTATTTTTAAGTGAAGTGATATAACTAATATTTTTCACCATCTAATATAACAATAATACATTTTTTTTCCTATAGGAGTATTTTGGTTGTTTTATGCTTTGGAAGAAGTATTAAGACTTGTTTATTAGAGCTTTCTAAAAGCTGTTTTAAGTTTTCTCGCTTTAAAAATTATTTTTGAAAGTGATTAGATGATCTGTTAGAAATGTTTTACTTTTTTAACAGAGTTTTCAGTCAAAGTCATAAAATAAAATAAAAAATACTTCTAAATAGAATTAAAAATTTGTACCAAAATTTATTAAACCCATTATAAACTTAATTCCAATATTTTTTTTATTTGATAGATAATTCCAGCACTTTTGATATTTATTAGAAAATTTAAAAATGACTTTAACCCATTAAGTTATTTTATTCTAAACGTGTTTACTGAAAAATCACAATTTTTACTTATTTTTTTTTCTACTGATTAAAGAAAAAATAAAAGCTTTGCTAACGACCTCTACCAATTAAACATTAAGGAAGCGGCTAACGGTAAAATTTATACCCATTTGATAAAGAACGCGCAATGGCTAAAATCTAGTGATATATGGAAAACCAATTACAAACAAATTCTAAAAAAAAATAAAGAAATAATTAGGGTTGTTGAGCAGAGCTAAGTTTCAGTGCAGCTTATTCAAGCTGCGTCAGCATGCTGAGTCAGCACAAATTGTTGATATTCTGTTTTGAGTGTAACAAACTCTTAGCTGTATATTGGTTATTACAGCTATTTCTGTATAAATATTTATCAAGCTGTTAATGAATGAGTTAGTTGAGCCATTTACAACAAATTATCTTTCTCTCTCTAGATTACTCTCTCTCTCTCTCTCTAAAATTTAATGGACGCTCAACATAATTAGCTATCGATTTTGATAAGAGTATTAAATAAAATTGTGAGAGATGGAGAGGAAACTAGCACCGACAAGCAAATTATGAGAGTTGGGATATTTAAAAACTCGTGGTGCATATAAATGATTTTAACTTCATATGTTATATACATAGATCATGACAGAGTGACAAATGGTTAGTTTGGCATTGTTGTATTGTTGAAATGTTTATTGTTACTGTGTTGTTATTTAGAAGTTGTTATAATTAGAAGCGTGTAGGTGTTTGGTAATTTTTTTTTTAAAACTCTTATAAATACTAGAAGTAGAAATATAAGTGTTTGATAAACTATGAATAAAATTATTGTGATAATTTATAATAACTAAAATAAACATACTTTAGCATACATATTTTTAATTAGTTTCATTTATATTGTTCATGTAAATAATCATAATATTTTTACACCAAAATACTATAAAATAAATTTTAATTTATTTAAAATATTTATAAAAAATAAATTACTAAATTTCTTATTTATTCTTGTCATTTTTAAATATTTTGATACTTCACAAAAATATTTGAGCAAAATTTATCATAGTGTATTTATTAAAGCTTTTCAATTTTAAAAATAAATATTTAAAATTTCCATTTTTTAAATTTAGTATAAAAAATAAAATAAGTAGATAGAGAATTAAGTTTTATTATTACGGTTTAGATATTGACAGCAGAAATAGCTGTGTAAAAATAACTTATGACCTACTTTTTAATTCTGTTGTTTAACAGAAGTTTTTAAAAGTTGTTAGATATAAACATGATTTACTAAACACCTGACCTATTGTAGTTTCTTAAAATAAAAAAAAAGGTTAAAAGCAGTTGCTAAAAGCAAGCGGACATTGCTTGTAATCATAAAATAAACATTACTGTATCTTTAAAACAAAAAAGAAAAAATGCATACACAACTAAAACCTAGGTAATTTAGGACGACTCAAAATGCGGGCATTGCACCCAACTTTATGAAGCACAGATTTCTTCCTAACTTTATGCCTGCAATCCAAAGTCTCCACGTAGAAAAGAAGAATTGAATATTAGCCGTCACCAACTAATAAATTTTGCATTTCATTCTATTTAATTTGATTTGCTAATAAACTTAAATAGAAATTTTAATTTTTTATGAGAAAAATACATTAATAAAAAATGATTGAACCAAAACCTTATGAGTTTAAACCTTTAAATCAAACGAAGACTAAAGTTTCTATGCATGATGCCACGGTAGTAGCTTGAGCGTCGTTGTTGAACTTACTATTAGAGTGCATGTTAGGTTTGTTGAATCAACCATGATCCCTCTTAAAGGAATCGCCGATTTGAGGGAGCAAAACCCCGAGAGGCCTAAATCTACCGGAACAAGGATGCTCCCAAGGACAGTAGCTAAATGGATGCCACACCAATCGCCCCCAACCCCCACTCATCCCTCCCCACCCAAGAACTCGTTGCCGCCTTCCCGGAGAGATTTTTATTCTTTATTTTTTGAAAGGAAGAATTTCCCAAGATTGGAATAGATATAATCATTTTCCACCATAAATAGATATATATGTATCCGTCTAATATTAAAAAACTTTGCATAATTATTTTTAGGCTAACTCTTATCCTCCACTAAATCTAATTAGCTAATACATTAGTTTCTTGAGGTGTACTCCAATCAGTCGCCTGTGTGTGTCTGTCTTTTCTTTGTACTTATGCAATCCTAATTATGTTATTTTCTTTCATTATTTCATTTTGAGCATTATAGAAACCTCGTATAAAGATCTTTTAAAAAAAAAGAAAAAAAAGCCACCATATGGAAAATTATCCCCTTGTTCAAAAGCAACACTATGGCAACTGCACCTATTTATAATATTTCTTTCCACGAATATCTTAACGTACAATTCAAGCAATGAAATCTCTTTCATTTCCCTTTGAAGACTAATAAACCTTTTCTTTATCGCCTACACTCAATGGTAGGAAAAACTAAAACCTTGATCTGTTCACTGAGAAAAGAAAACAGATCATTAGCCCAAAATCATGTACACCTTGTTCTTGTGCCTCATTGTCATATGGTCCGGTCCAACCGTCCAAGCCAAGGCGCCACCACCACCGGTCCAGTGCAACCGAACTGGCTGCACCCTCTCCAACTCCTACGGAGCCTGGGGATCAGACCGGAACGGCTGCCACGTCACCAATGTCACATACCCGGAAACCGAAGAGGAGCTCCGTCTAGCCGTGGCCTATGCAAACCAACACCAGCTCAAGGTCAAAGTGGTGTCCAAATTTTCACACACCATACCAAAACTGGCATGTCCCGGTTCAAATTCGGAGGGCGCAAATTTTCTCATTAGTACCGAAAATTACGACTCCGGGATTGAGATGGATGGCGTGAATTTGGTCGTGACGGCGGAGGCGGGGGTGACGCTGAGGCGGCTGATCGATGAAGTGGAAGGAGTGGGGCTGAGTTTGGTGGCTGCGCCCTATTGGGAAGGTGTTAGTATTGGGGGAGCTATAAGTACGGGGGCACATGGGAGTTCGTGGTGGGGAAAAGGTGGGGCCGTGCACGATCATGTTGTTGGGATTAGTCTTGTTGTTCCGGCCAAAGCGTCTGAAGGGTATGCCAAGATTTTGCGGTTAGAAGCCAAAGATCCACTGCTTAATGCTGCCAAAGTTTCGTTAGGCTTGTTGGGTGTTATCTCTAAGGTAACTAATTAATTAGCAGTTACTAATTTTTGGATTTAGATATATACATACATCCAACTACATACATACATATGTGTATGTATGCACATTTATATATCCGCTTGCTATAACGATTCTTAGACATATAATATCAAATTCTGGTCTGTCGCCAGACAGAAAAGGGGAGTTTTAGTGATGATGGGGTGTGTTTGTCTAATTATAACCTTATATAAAAAAAAGGACAAAAATCAATGGTGATAATTAATATTATCTTTATCTTGGAAGCTTAATTAATTAGTTATAGTTGGATGATCGTGTGATTTTTAACTTTAAGAGAGCATTTCTTGTCCTAGCGTGGTTTGGAACAAAATCAGTATTGGTTAAATCCTATACGTCGACCCATTTGATAATATGACACAATCTTGTATAGATATAGGACCCATCCAGTGCTATCGCATATGTTATTTTTTGAAAAAAAAAAAAAAATATATATATATATATATTCGTTAGGCTTGTTGGGTGTTATCTCTAAGGTAACTAATTAATTAGCAGTTACTAATTTTTGGATTTAGATATATACATACATCCAACTACATACATACATATGTGTATGTATGCACATTTATATATCCGCTTGCTATAACGATTCTTAGACATATAATATCAAATTCTGGTCTGTCGCCAGACAGAAAAGGGGAGTTTTAGTGATGATGGGGTGTGTTTGTCTAATTATAACCTTATATAAAAAAAAGGACAAAAATCAATGGTGATAATTAATATTATCTTTATCTTGGAAGCTTAATTAATTAGTTATAGTTGGATGATCGTGTGATTTTTAACTTTAAGAGAGCATTTCTTGTCCTAGCGTGGTTTGGAACAAAATCAGTATTGGTTAAATCCTATACGTCGACCCATTTGATAATATGACACAATCTTGTATAGATATAGGACCCATCCAGTGCTATCGCATATGTTATTTTTTGAAAAAAAAAAAAAATATATATATATATATATATATATTATTTCCCACCCGTAAATAGTATACTACTAACTGCCCAAACAAATTGATTTGTCAACTGAGGGACAAGGAATATAATTAGAATTTTCCTTAAATGTTCTGTAAAGTGTACGGGTTTTTTCTTTTAAGTCTTAACTGAATATTGCAATATTATTGAATCTAAACTCCTTGGTCAATATTTCTTTAGTTATTTATTTTTTGTCAAAATTCAGATCTCATTTATTTCCCAAAATTTGCTTGGATTTTTTTTTTTTTTTTGGAATAATTAGAGCTGATCATTATAACAGGTAAAGTTTTCTCTAGAGAGAGGGTTCAAAAGAAGCATAACATATAACTTCACAGAAGAAGCTGGATTTGAGGACACATTCATAGAGCACGCAAAGAGACATGAATTTGCAGATATAACATGGTATCCGTCAAGAAATGTGGCCGTCTACAGATATGACGACAGAGTTCCTATAAACGCCTCCGGCGACGGCACTTTCGATTTCCTTGGTTTCCAACCCAATTCCATTCTCATCTCCCAGACAATTAGAGCTACAGGTAATAATAATGGTCATTTCACAATATATATTGATTTCTTTATAACTTTTTTTTTATTATTAAAACTTTTTCATACCAAAGTTGTATGTATATATAATGAACAACGTTAACTGGTAAAAGAACAAAAATAAGGGAAGGATAAGAGGAGAGAAGAAAATATGAATGGAACTAATTTTTGTTGTTGTTGTTGTGTGTGTGTGTGTGTGTGTGTGTTTTTTTTTTTTTTTCAATAATATTATCACTGGGGTTTCTAGTCTACCAGCGCTGACAAATACCCATGTAAAAGGTACTTTAGTGATCGTTGAACTATCCAAAAAAAAAAAGAACTATAATGATTAACGCATTAATATGTAATTGGTCAGAAATCGCTTGTGATGCGCTGCTCAAATTCTTATCCACTAATTTGGCTTTTTCTTTTTTTTTTTAAAGACCGATGAAAGAGATTAATGAATGTCAAAAATTACTAGTACAACTACTACATCCCAATTAGTTATTTTAGTAGAAAGAAAATATCTATTAAAAAAATCTATGGTGGAAAAAATCCAACTATAAAATGTCCTTTTTCCATATCCAATGAACTAAACCATTTATTATAAAAAATAAAAAAATAATTTATCAAACAACCAGGAAGAATAACTAAGACATAGACATCAAACATCGAAAAGGATGATATTAATATATGCATCACGAGACCTGAGAATTAGGAAATAATATTAGTATTACTGTAGAGAATTTAAAGTGATGGAATGAGAAAAGAGAAAAAAAAAATTGACCAAGTATTAGACAAAAGGAAAAACAAAAAAAAAGTTGTCCCCAAACTTTTTTTTTTATCCACATTATTTTCCTTTCAATCTACCAATCATTTCTATCAAACAACAAAAGGCAGTCATTTTCTATCCAAAAATACCTCTATCCCTTTTCTTCCCTAGTCCTTTTTTCACCTTTAGTATTAAACCAAGGTACTCCATTTTAAATATTAATGCATAACATGCAATACTAAAACTAGATACTAACAAATCTCGGACGTGAAAATGAATGCAGAGAAAGCACTAGAAAGTTCCAGAAACTCAAAAGGAAAATGCGCGCTAGCCGGCGCAGTCGTGGGGGTGAAGAAACTAGTCGCCAATGGACTAAAGAACAACGGCCAAATCTTCACAGGCTATCCGGTGATCGGTCGTCAGGGCAAAATGCAAACCTCAGGCTCTTGTCTCTACTCAACCGCAATCGACACAACATGCGCGTGGGACCCAACAATCAAAGGCCTCTTCTTCTTCGAAACGACGGCGATCTTCGCCGCTTCGAGTTTCGCAGACTTCATTCGCCACGTGAAGCGGCTGAGAGACCTGAACCCGGACAACTTTTGTGGGGTCGACATGTACAACGGGTTCCTGATACGTTTCATTAGGGCTTCGCAGGCTTATCTAGGTCAAGATGAGGACTCGGTGGCCGTTGATTTTAATTACTTCCGAGCTGATCAGCCGTTGACTCCGAGGGTTAACCAAGACGTGTGGGAAGAAGTTGAGCAAATGGCTTTTTTCAAGTATGGGGCTAGGCCACATTGGGGTAAGAACAGGAATTTGGCGTTTTTGGGGGTGCCTAAAAAGTATAAAAATTTTGGTAACTTTGTTGAAGTTAAGAGAGTTTTGGACCCTCAAAATATGTTCTCGAGTGAGTGGTCTGATGAGGTGTTGTTTGGGAAGGAATTGGGTGAAAAAGGTGATGGGTGTGCTTTGGAGGGACAGTGTGTTTGTTCTGAGGATAGACATTGTAGTCCGGAGAAAGGGTATTTCTGCAAACAAGGACTTGTTTATAAGGAGGCTAGAGTTTGTAGGTATTTGCAATCCTCTGTATCATAATATATATGTAAATATATGATTGTGTGTGTGTAACGTTAAGATTCTTTGGTCTAATGAATTGGGGCTGTGGAGGATTTTGGGTAGGGATTAAGGATTCGATTATCTTTATTTCTATTAAAAGGATGATAATAACATATACTTTTTTTTTTAATTGTCGCATAATAAAATATGGGTTTTGGTATATTGGTTTATGCCTTAATCCCTAATCTCAAAACCTTAAATTTGAATGAAAAATTCGATCAAAAGTTGATTGGATTTTACATTTTGTCATATAGTTGTTTTCTTCAAATAAGCTAAATCTAGTATAATTCATACCATAAGACTGATGGGTTGTATTTATTATAAGTGAAGAAAACCAGTTCCAAAGGTTGTAGTACATATAAGTAATTTGACAATGGGAACAGGTCTTGTCACCATTACCGCACTCTTTGACCAAAAATATCGTTACCTCAATAGAAGGAAAAAAAAAAAGAAAAAGAAAGAAAAAAAAGGGGGCAACAAAAACCGCTCTGCAACATTTCAAGGACAAAATCATGAGAACTTTCCTAATAAATTACGTACCAAACAAAAACTATACTATGGAGAAACAATATCCCACATATTACCTATCAACATAAATATACAATATAATTCTGACTTATCTTGAAAAAAAAGTATAATTCTGGACTGTCATATTGGTTGTGTCGATTTACCAATTAAATATTTTTCTTGGAGTACGGAATTTCCTAACTCGTTAATACAAGTTTGCCTACATTACATTTTCTGCGAAGAGCAGTGTCATAGACTCATCATTCCAACGCTGTAATTTGTTGTTGGTAGATACATTGAAGTTTAGTTAATGACATTGATTTTGATTTTTTTTTTTTTTGGCTACAAGGTCTTGAATAAGAACATATACAATTTAGGTGTAATCAGCACTACTATATACATTTACCCCAAAAAAAAACACTGTTATTCATATATATATATATATATATATAGACGAGTATTTAATAAATACGTTTTTCATCAATGGTTATCAATAATATAGAAATTTGTTGCTCTTGTAATTGTTTCCCCTCTTATTTCTGTAAAAAAAGCAACCAACCACTTTCATAAGGCAAAAGTACAATTATCAAAAACCAACAAATTAGGGAGACGCCAAAGTGGTGCCTTCCAACCAGATGAACCTCTGAACATGAAATTATGACCTATATATGGACATAGAGCATATCTATACATATGAAAATGTTATTAATGACGAAAAATTTTACTTACAAGAAAAAATGTTTGCGCAATTATATATTTGTGAAAAGTTATTTGATCATACACATTTTGTAGATATAAAATGTATATTGATTATGCATTCTTCAAAAGATTGCACAATGATTTAAAAAAACAATATGTATAAGAGAATTTCTCTTGTAGGACCAGAAAAATGAACTACCGATAATTTCTTATTTTTTAGCAGTTAAATCTATATCAGAAATTGTATATTATGCATACTTTTTCAATCTAATGTGATTTTGACTAAATTCATCAGTCAGAAATCAAGTCCTACAAGGGAAACTCCTTGTGTATAAAAAGAAAGAGAACACTATTGGAAAACAATAAAGAAAAGAAAAAATTAACTAGAACGAAACGATGTAAATAAATATGGATGAAACTAAAACAAAAAACAATTCTAAAAAAAAAATTGTTAGAAGAAAAAAGTAAAAAGAAGGAAAAGAAATGACAAGAAGAAGGAAAATATTGCTAAAATTTAGGCAATATTATGCCATGATTTTTAAGATTGGATTGACTTTTGCTATGGGTATCAAAACTATTACAAAATATACTACAGTGACATCATTTAAGTTTTGTGTATTGAGCAAAATTATACTTGTACTTTTGTGTATTTCATTTAGTATCTTTAAATTTTGTGAGAGTTTTGTGATTTTTCATATCTTTAGATGTATTGGGCGTATACAAAGGTGTTTGTGAAATTATGTGAGCTTTTCATATTAAAAACAGAAGAAATTTATATTTTAAATATTTTGAGTGTCTTAATAAAAATTTGGGGCGTGAATAAAATTTCCCTTTCTAATATGTATATACAAAAACAGTTTGGTCCAGTTAGGACCATTTATAAGATTTTCCAAATTGGACAGGACCATTTCTAAAATGGTTTAATCCGGTTTTAAACTGCCCATAAGCAGTTATCACATAAAATTGGATCAAACGGTCTAAAAACTGTCGGATTGATCCGATCCGATGGTTTTGGACAAACCGTGCACATGCTTAAAACCAGCCCTCAGCCCTAAATGGAAGAAGTTTGAGGAGTGGCATGGACGCCATTGGTCCATTTGGCGGATGAGGGCCCCATCTATCTATCTTGTCCGTGGCAGCTGCAATGTGTGTATATATATACACACACACATATATATAGGGGTTGCGGGGAAATCGACGCCGTTGAAAGTGCCACACTCACCAGCACTGATGATGATCGGAAGTAACACTAGTCTGATTTGAATAATATGGATCTTTCAATATTGCTCTTCCATATTCTGAAGCTCACGTCCATGTCCTGCTCGTCACCATACATATATATATATATATGGAATGCCTCTCTCTCTCTCTTCTGTCCCCAGAGATCTCCATGATCTTCCTCCTGAAGTTAATGTTGTCTCCGGCTTATTTTTTTCGCTAATATTTTATCATTTATAACACTTTCGCTTTTCGAATAACTATAGTATTTTTCTCCAGTTATGTCCGTTTTAGTTATGTTTATTAGGGGAAAAAAAGGGTTGTGAGTTACCTAATTGCATATATTAATCGAAAAATTACTGATAGAGACCCACTGGTCTTCTGCTTCTTCTTCCTTTTTTATTTTATTTTTTTGCAGAGCTCAAGACTTGGAGACCATGTATCAGTATCAGACAAAACACGAGAAGAAAAATCACAGGTGTTTTTTTTTTTTTTTGGAAGAGCTCAAAGATTCGGAGACCATATATCAGTACGAGACAAAACATGAAAAGAAAAATCACAGATGATTTTTTTTATTTGGTAGAATTATCACAGGTGATTTGTGCAATCTGTGATCATGTGTTCTCATGATCACGGGAATAATTGAAATGGATTTGATTAACCCTAGTATAGCAAGAAATCAGTTATTACACACACATATAGATATATAGAAAAAAAAAATTCGGTAATCAAGAATAAACCATGCTAAATGAGGTGGGCGGTTTCAACTCTATTTGGACATAAATCAACTTTTTATAATCGGTGTCGTTTTTGGCCTTATGGGTAATATGAATTAATGACCTAATTAAAGTCTGTCTATGTTTCTAGCTCTAATTAAGAGAAAAGTCGTCAAATTGAAGGAAATTATTGCATTTGTTCTACTATTCGATGAAAGCTAACTAGTACTTTGGTGTTTATGATCGTTTGTGAAGAATTACTGCATTTCTCATTAATTTTGGGGAGATGATCATATTCTTTGGATTAATATCCGGTGGTCGGAAACACGTCCCGGTTCCTTACCGCTAATTACCCGGCTAGACCGCTTACCCCTTACCCTTAAGCAATTGTTTCGTCTACATTAATATCTTTCAAGTGCTGTCGAGATAATATGTTTTTATAGAAGCCCACAGCTTGCATAACAAAAAAAAGATGCAAGCATATATAGCTAGATTATGGGTTTCTTATATATATATATATATATATATATATATAACACAGAATACACAAACTCACGGCTTATAAGTGGACTGCACTAAGTTAGATTTTAGTTTGAAGTACATGTTATACAAGATTGGTTTTGGTTTCTGGTATTTATCAGCATAATTCCTGTAGTCAATGAAAATTTGACAATTTGATTACGTTTGATTGATCAACTTAGATCAAATAGTGAGTTTTCTTGTGGAAAAATAGAGATGTACAACATTAAAATTGAGGGTGGGGTGGGGTGGGTGTGGGGTGGTGGAAGGGAAAGAAAGTTCAATAGGAGGATCACTAATTTGTTAATTAGAATTAGTTAAAGTAGTTATGCATGCCCTTCTAATTAATTATCATGTTGTTTCACTCCTACACGGTGGTTCCAATCTACATTTTCTTAGGCCAATTTTTACTTCATTAATTTATACATCTCTAAGGTTGGCAAGAGTAGGGCCTAGGGTAATTTGCTGGTAGTGTTATAAATAATTAAGGGTTTTTTGCACTTGGGTCCCCCTTTTTCTTTTTTTCTTTTTTTTTTTTTGACCATTGGCACTTGTGTCCTTAAACATTAACGTGTGATATTTTTAGATCTATAGTTCTTTGGTAGGATGAATAATAGTAAAGTTGGATCTTAAGAGAAGATTTAATATCCTTTATGTTTAAAATTATTATGAGATCTTTGGGACACAATTATCTAAATCTTTAAAATGGGGATTCAAATGCGAAGAAAATAAGAATTTGAGAGTCCAGTTTTTAAAATTTAAAAAATGGGGAACCAAGTGCAGAAAATACCAATAACTAGTATCTTTCCGGAGGAATCTATGCAATATGAAAATTTATCTAAGATTTTCCTTAATTCATAGGATATTTGGAATTTTTTTCCTCCTGAGGTGGCCCATGCGCATGACAGTCAATAATATTCCATAAGGAAAAAAAATTATTAAAAAAAAAAAAAAAGCTGATCATAAGATGTACAAAGGCACTAACGATGTTGGAATGGAGAAAGCTAGCACACATATAACCCTTTTAGGGGTCCACTGAGATGGCCTCTAGCTTGTAACTTCAATCGATTAAAGTCCCCAAGAAATTAAAGCATCTTTTTTTTGCAGGGAATTAGGAGCTGTGGTTCAGCTTGCTTGAGTGTCGTTTAGCTCTCAACCGCTTATCACTTACGACATGATATTTACTTTAGTATACGGTTTATATTTATTTGAACTTATCTTGTCTTATTGCTTCCAAGAAGTGTTATACGCATTGCCGTTATAAATCAAGGGTTTTAATGCCCAGAAGTATGAGGGAGGTAGCTTAAAGATTAACCTCAAATTCTGGTTTGTTTGCTGGTATGAACACACACACACACACACATATATATTTATAT